TTAACAAGACATATTGATTAATATATGAATGAAAACAACACTGTTTTAAAGTTTCACTAATTTATTTATGTTTTTAATAATTAACAATTGTTTCGCTACACTGTAGCTTCTTCAGAATTAGTACTTATTTTAACAAGTGGCGGTATTTATATTAACAACAGGCAGGTAATTTGAGAAGATAAATGTTATATAAACATTATACCTGAAGGTAAAATTTATATAATTACATAATTTTGGAAAAACTGAGGGTTTGGGAAATCCTATCTAATATAATATTATAATATTAATAAATATTACTTTTTAGTACTACAAGTACACACTCTAAAATAAATTTAGCAAAGGAGAGCTGTTAGTTTCAATTTGGTCATTAAGAACAATATCAGATTTTTTCTTTAATTTATTAATTTCCAAAGACTCTAAAAGATTTAGTTTGGTACCTTTATTGGCTACATGTAATATTTTAAAGTTATCATCAAATGTGTGGTTCTCTTGTATTAAATGGTTAGCGTATGAAGAATCCTGTTTAAGGTTTATATAGGATAACTTGTGTTCTTTAATTCGTGTATTAAAATTTCTACCCGTTTGGCCTATATATGTTTTCGGACAGTCTCTGCAATTTAGTAAATTGCAGAGACTGTCCGAAAACATATATAGGCCAAACGGGTAGAAATTTTAATACACGAATTAAAGAACACAAGTTATCCTATATAAACCTTAAACAGGATTCTTCATACGCTAACCATTTAATACAAGAGAACCACACATTTGATGATAACTTTAAAATATTACATGTAGCCAATAAAGGTACCAAACTAAATCTTTTAGAGTCTTTGGAAATTAATAAATTAAAGAAAAAATCTGATATTGTTCTTAATGACCAAATTGAAACTAACAGCTCTCCTTTGCTAAATTTATTTTAGAGTGTGTACTTGTAGTACTAAAAAGTAATATTTATTAATATTATAATATTATATTAGATAGGATTTCCCAAACCCTCAGTTTTTCCAAAATTATGTAATTATATAAATTTTACCTTCAGGTATAATGTTTATATAACATTTATCTTCTCAAATTACCTGCCTGTTGTTAATATAAATACCGCCACTTGTTAAAATAAGTACTAATTCTGAAGAAGCTACAGTGTAGCGAAACAATTGTTAATTATTAAAAACATAAATAAATTAGTGAAACTTTAAAACAGTGTTGTTTTCATTCATATATTAATAATATGGAGTTTCATCAAGTAAAGGTCGAAACAATCAACAAGACATATTGACATGATGTCACTATAATAATTTATTTACAATAAAAATTTTGGTATACTGAGGCTTCTTGATTTCTAACAGTTTAAAAAAACATTTAATGATAACATTTCGAATGCGAATATTTCAGAAACAGTTGAATTTAGGATATGGTTTGTTATATGAATTATGCTCAGAATTTTACAAGGAATCGAAAAATAAATTCATATATAGGGTGATCCATTGAAAAAAAATAAACTTTTTGTTTTTCCCTGTATACTGATCAATTTTCCAATTTTTTTTATACGTAGAAAAAAAGTATTTTTTACTACCTACATAACCACACTTTTAAATTTTTTGGGACACTTAAAATAAAAAAGTTAAAGGGGGGCGACATTATAGGGGATCACCCTGTACTCAAATTAATGTAATAACGATTATTTAAATCTTATTTTATTTTAAATATTTTAAAGTAAAGTTTATATAAATTTGTATTATAAAATAATAGCATAAAATCTGACAACTGTGAAATCGGTTTTACTTATTAAATTAATAATAATATTTTGTACCCTCTTAAAGTCCAAATCAAAAAACAAACGCCTAATTAAATAATCGCTCTACCCCGCTAGGCCACTTGTAAATTTTAATTGAAACAAAAGACTAATTAAAACAAAAACGCGTACATTTTTTTTATTAAATCAAGTGGCTCACCTGTAAAGGCCGCCGTGGTGACCCGTTGCGGCGCCAGGTCAACCGGGGGGGACGACCCCCCCAACCCCGCCTAACACATGCTTGCTGTTAGGCTGAAAACTATCTGAAAGAACGAAAAAAAAAAATTACACTTTCGAACGATTTTTTGTTCTTGTTTTTTAGCAAACTTACCTGTCTTTGAATCGGTCAGTTTTGCTTTGTTGCCCCCCCTTTAAATTAGACAACACTGTATTCCATTTAATGAGGCGTCACTGTTTACACCTGAAATTGCATTATTATATAAAAGTTTGTTTTTATAAATATTGTACAATTATTTGCATATTTAATTTATTATTTTAAAACAAAGAAACATGTGTTTATTTATTTTTTTTTATAAAATTCTTTTGTTGTAATAATTTATTAATAATTAATATTGTTTTGTTAAAATATTACGAATTGTTTCTATATTCTGTATATTTAAAAAAAATATTGAAATATTGTTATATATTTAACAAAAAAAAATTATGCAAATAATTATATAACATAAAAATGAAATTAAAACATTATAAAGGTTTGAAGTTCATGTTTCCTGAAAAATAGGTTTTCAGGACCTTCAATACCGAAAGTATACGCCTAAGGACCTTAGCAAAATGGCGTACTGAAACTGAAAACAACTCACCCCTTTCAGGACTCTAATAATCCAAAAGTACATAAATCCAATGGTAGAAATAGCCTAGTAACACTTTAAACTGGTATAACCACTAAAACTGCTAATTTTCAGCGAGGTAAGGCTGAAAAACCGAACAAAACAAACGAGTCGCGCTGATCTGTCATTCGTCCTTGCTGAAAGGTGGTAATCGCGATCGTTACGGTGGCTAAACGCGCGGAAAACGTTGATTTTCGGCGCTCCTTTGAGTGTTGGGTGTTTGGGGGTTATTGTTTGTTGCAAACGGGGCACCAAATGTCGGAAAGTTACAACTAAAATGTCCGCAACACGGGCGAAATATACGCGACACACATTTAACCCCGAGCTGAAAGCTGAAAGCTGAAAAATTGGGGAGGGGATGTGTTGAACTCGGGAGGGGTATTGGGCGCAAACTGTTTGAATTTTTGTAGGTGGAAATTTCCTTGCGAATAATATTTTTGAGGATTGTTGTTTTTTGAACTATTGTCTACATTTTAGAACACAGGGTGATAAATTATTAAGACAAAATATTTAATATGTTTGACAACAAAATCATCAAAAATAAAGTTAAATTTGGATAATAAAACAAGTAAATTATTTATTTTCACAAATTTAAACCAAAACACAACCAATTTTTATATTTATGGCAAAAATAGAAAATTTACAAAATTTTCACCAAAAACATAAAAATTTAATATAAGTGACAACAAAATAAAGTTAAATTTGTAAATTAAAACAAGTAAATTTTGTATTTTTACAAATTAAAAAAAAAACAAATTTTTATATTTATGTCAAAAATAGAAAATTTACAAAAAATTCACCAAAAACATAAAAATTTAATATAAGTGACAACAAAAGTTAAATTTGGATATTAAAACAAGTAAATTTTGTATTTTTACAAATTTAAAAGAAAACAATTTTTTATATTTACCTATGTCAAAAATAGAAAATTTACAAAAATTTCACCAAAAACATAAAAATTTAATATTAGTGACTACAAAAGTTAAATTTGGATATTAAAACAAGTAAATATTGTATTTTCACAAATTTAAACCAAAACACATTTTTTTTTATATTTATGTCAAAAATAGAAAATTTACCAAAATTTCACCAAAAACAAAAATTTAATATAAGTGACAACAAAGTAAAGTTAAATTTGGATATTAAAACACATAAATTTTGTATTTTCACAAATTTAAACCAAAATACAACAATTTTTATATTCATGTCGAAAATAGAAAATTTACCAAAATTTCACCAAAAACAAAAATTTAATATAAGTGACAACAAAATAAAGTTAAATTTGGATATAAAAACAAGTAAATTTTGTATTTTCACAAATTTAAACAAGAACACAACAAATTTTTATATTTATGTCAAAATTTCACCAAAAACATGAAAATTTAATATACATTAGTGACAACAAAATAAAGTTAAATTTGGATATTTCTGTTAAAAATAGAAAATTTACAAAAATTTCACCAAGAACATGAAAATTTGAAATTTACGGAAACGAAACATTAAGGGGAGGTAAAATCTTGTTGTTCACGACGCAGACGTCCAATTTTCGCCATGTTGCCAAACGATCCTCCAACTCCAAAATTTATATTTGAACCTGTTAAAAAATGCGATTTTCCTACAATTCCTTCCGATAAATCACCAAGAGAACGTACGTAGCAATAAAATCTTACTGATAAAGTGTTTTTAACGTACTCCAATCAAATAAATCACCCCAACCCTCAAAAACAAAATCCCCTTATCTGGGATTTTTCGTAAATCCGGCAACGTCGCGATTATCCACCCCCAGCGCTATCTAAGGGTTAAACTTCGAAGCTGATACAATGGTGGAGACTGTTACACAGTCAATATGGCCGACGCATGCGCCTACAGCGACCTCAAAATTTATAGAGACAAAATTTCGGTACACTACCCTACAGAAGGGTTTGTTATTGTTTGATACAGTCCGCGGTGGAGGTTCGACAACGTGGCAATGCGCGCCTAAATCTCGAATAAAGGGATTGAACAAAAAAATATTCTGACTTTAGAAATTGTAAAATATCTCTGAAATTATTCATTTTATTAAGTTATTTCAATAACTCGAAAACTATTCACTTTAGGTCTAGGACATGGTATAGTAATTTTACTCAGAATATAAAAATGTGAAACACCCTGTATATAATGTCTTATAAACTTATTACTTTACAAAATCATAAACAATCGTCGTTATTCAAACTTTTAGACATTCAATTAAAGTTACAAACTGCTTTACCATGCAAATAAACTGCTGAATATATCATTGGAATTCCTTGAACCCGGCAAATATTTAATAAAATTAAAATTATATTTACTTATTGTTTTTTGAATGACTGCGTAAGCTCGTTAAAATGTTTCCTCAAAAAATTATATTTGCATGCGTCATTGTGGGTTGCTGTGCTAAAGTTCTCAAACACGAAGACGACAACACGATCTTCAAAGACTCCGAAGATTTACCGATAAAAAAAGAAAACTTCGACATTTTGCGAAATGATTTGGACAACGTTGGCGTCAATCTGGAAAACTTCGTCGTCGACGTCCTCAAGCAATTTTTGTTCAACGGCACCAAAGACAGCTCTGAATCCACCGAACAAGAAATTAAAGAAGAAACCACCACTGAAACAAATGAAAGCACATCTAAAGAAACCACAACTGAAGAAATCAGCACTCTAGAACCATCGACGATAAACCCAAACAATTTTTTGGTTAAACCTGATGATATCGAAACCACCACGACAAAGAGCAAGAAAAGAAGCAGGAGAGTGCGTAGACAGGTGGAAAATTGCACTCCAAAGACCGTTGAAGAGCTACGCCTCGAGAAAAAACACATCGAAGATTTGAATAGGGAGGTAAAAAAGTTGAACGAGCTTGTGGTCTTGTTGAGAGATCAACGAGACATCCTGCACATCCTCAACGAAGATAGCAACAAGCCCAACAAATTTCTGAAGAACGAAACCAAGGTTACGTTGATTAAAGGCTTGCGACAGTTGAATAAAAAGGAGTTGGAGCAAAGCAATTCACAGCACGTTGAGAAAAACGAAATTCCTTTGGATGAGGATGTCAAAAAAGTTGAAAGACCGACACATAAAGAGTTGGAACACCTGAAGAATCAACTATGCGAGACTGTTAGACAGTTGAATGAAACCAGGAGGATGCTGAAGATGGAACAAATGAAGGAGAACAGCTTGGAAGTTGAGTTAATGCACCAGAAAAATGACATAGGTAACTTGTTTAAATTGGTGAAAAACATGTCCAAAACTCAAGACAAACAGAACGATACCATCTTGGGCACTCAGTTCAACTTTCTTGCTCACCCCGCGGTAAAAAATCATTTGGACCAAGCAAAAAACGTAACACAATCCAGAGGAGCAACAGAAGAAACCCACAAAAGCAGATCCAGAGCCAGCGAATTATCAGACCTAGCCAAGATTCTGGACACCCTAAACGAACCGAAAAGAACGCAACCGACGAACGATGAAATCCTCAGGGTTCTAAACGCGCTAACCCCACCACAAGAGTCAAAAAGCCTTAACGTCGATTTCAGGGAGCTTCAGGATACCATCAACCAAAGACGCGAGCAGGAAGATAGACTGAATCAGATTGCAAGAGCTCTAAAAGCCGCGCAAAGTAAATCGAGTCCTCAAAGTAAAAGCGACGATATCGATGGAAGACTTAAAGAACTGCAAGATGCTATAAACAAATTAAAACCTAGAGATGACGATCTTAGACAAGACGACGAGGCGAGGTTTCAAGCAATGCTGAGCAACCTCATAGCGAACCAAGGTCAATCCAAACCAACAGCAGCCAACACATTCTCCAAAGGTAAATATACTTCGCATACCATCGATTATAACTGATAAACCCTTTACAGAGTTTTTATTACCCAGCCATACATGTAGGATAGTACCCGTGGAAGATTATAACTCTCACTATTCTTCAGATACCTATGGAGGACGAATACCACCAAATGCCTTCCCCGTGCCCCTATCAGGCTTCTACGGAGGATACGGACCTGCAGGTTACAACTATGGAGGTTACGCGGCACCAAATGCTTACATTGGAGGTTATGGGCCCGGACCGGCACCTGGATACACTCCCAATGCTCCCGCTTACGGTCCAGGTTATGGTGGAGTTCCACCAGGTGCTTCTGCCTATGAAAAACCATATGGTGGTGCTTACTACCCCAAACCCGCATCCCCGGTGAACGCTTATGGAGGAAAGCCGGGTGATTTTTTTCTGCACCCAAAAAACCAATACGATAAAGGTCCTGGAGGATCTTATACTGCTGCAGACGCGGCTTATACTACAAACCAGGGTAAATACTATCAAAATACAGCAGCTACAGCAGCCGACTACAAAGGAGACAACGTAGAGGACTTGAAGAGTCAGATTTACAGCCTCCAGAATGTTATAAACGATTTGAATCGGCCGGAGTATACGCAAAAACCAGAGGACAAGCAGACGGTGTATCATTTGGAGAAGCAAATTGCTGATTTAAAGAATGTCGTCAATGATAATGATAATAGGTGAGGTTTTCCAAATTAACATTGCAAAAAAATTAATATACATTTTTCTAGCTATGCAGCCCCTGTAGCACCAAGTTATGACCCCAATGCGTACGCCCCTCCTTCAAGCAAACCCGAACCAAAATATCGCAGAAGAAGATCCACACAAAACGAAATAAATAGTAGCGACAATATTTTAAATACCGCAGCTTTGTACCTAAGTAAAAACCGCTAAATATACCTCCTCTAAAAAAATAACTTTGTTTTTTTAGACCAAATATTACAAGAACGACCCCAAAATGTATCTAACGATGAGTCGAACAGTCCACGTAATGTCGAAGACATTCAAAATCGTTTAAACGTACTGAAAAAACAGTTAGGTATGCCATAAACACTTTGAATATAATAATTTCAATAAACTGTTTTTAGAAATTCATTCGGGAGCGACTGGCTCAAAAGATCGTTCAAGTTCGCTCTATCAGAGTTCCTACAATAATATTTTACCCATGCCATATAACACCCAGTATAACAACAACGATGACCATAAGACTAAAACTAGAGCGTTGGAGAAAAAACCAGACTTATTCACGGACATCCTCCTCAAATTAACCGACAGGTTGCTCATAGCTCTTCCCCAGGTTCTAAAGAAGATATTTGGGTTCACTTTCGAAGAACTCAGCACTGATGAATATGGGTATGGGTCTAACTACGGGTCCAACTTGGCGGTATTCAAAAATTTGGGTATTTTTGGGTACTTACCCATGATAGCCCTCAAATTAATAGACGCCTTAACGTACTTTATGAACGCTTTGAAGAAAAATAAGTTTTTAAAAACGTTTTTGGTGCCAGCGTTAGTCTTAGGGTTAGTTGCTGGGTCTGTTTTATTTTTAATTTGGTTTATCAATTCGGATGACGATTATAAGCAAATTAGTGGTAATAATTATAATTATGACGAAAATAGTTATGGGAATAATAAATATAACTATGATTACAACAGAAACAGTTTTGATTATGGGAGAAATTACAATTACCCTCAAATGCAACCTTTTTACAACAAAAACTTTGATCCCCAAAGATCAAATTATGCTCCTGTGTATAGTAGAAGTTATTTTGAAAATATAAACTAAAAAAAAAACAATGTTTTTAATTAGTTTTTCAATTTTTTATTGGTAACCTTGAAGCGTGCACTCTAAATCTGTATAAACAAGTGTAATGTTCATTCCCTTGATTATTTTTTATATGCAATTCAATGTATTCAAATGAACTTATCTGAACTGGATCTATCAAAAAGGTTTGAATATGATCTTCGTTAATTTTGAACTCAAATGTTCCTAATAGCATTGGGTCATCGTCGTCTAAACTTGAAAGACCCTAAAAAATATTTTTTTGAAAAAAAAACAACTTAGGTAAATATTCAAAAACATTTATTTTAACACATTAACAAAAAATTTCACTTAGGCAACCTATTGTGCACCCTAAATCTATAAACACAAGTCAGATTCTCATTCCCGTGATTATTAAGAATTTCTAACTCGACAAATTCATATGGAAAAATCAAATCGGGATTAACAACAAAAGTTTGAACGTGCATCCCCTCTAATTTGTACTGAAACTTTCCCAAAGAACTACGCGTGTCCGAATTTTCGAGCTTTAAACCCTGAAAAGCACAACGTGACGTCACGAGACGACCTTTCACGCAGACACCTCGATCTACTTACGTATACGGCGAAATCGCGGGGTGCGTGGGATAAATCGTCCAATAGCGCGAAGGGGGCGTGGTCCAGAGTGACAGCCACGATTTTCACTTTTTTCGACAACTTTATGCGGATTCTGCCGCTGGATCCGCAGAAAGCGAAGCAATTCCCAGGAGTGTTTGATTTTTCCAGGATATTATCCGGTCGGGATACCAATTGGCGGGAAAACAGGTAAAATAGGGATATGGATTGGTTGATGGGTAAAGGTTCTGTTTCTGGAATTGATATTATTTCTCCACCGGCTTCTTTGGAAGCGTAATCTAAATATAATACAATAATACATTTACATTTTTTCATTTTTCTAAATTAACTCATAAAAAATTTAAAAAAAAATGCTTCAAAACTCACCAAAAGCTCCTATCCCATCTGCTTCATATGTACGAAGGGCTCCATTAATTTTGTTTTCAACTTCTACAAGAGATACACGTGTCTCCCCATTTAATAGTTTAGCTTCAATGTTATCCCTTAAAAACACCATTACAACATCAATTTACTTAAATTAAACATTACTTTACTTAAAATCCAATAAATATTGTATTTGTTCTTTCAATTCCCTTATTTCCTTTTCAAAATTATTACTGTTATTGTTACTGCTAATATCTTTGTTGTTATTTTTAATAATATATTCATTTAGATGTCTTTTGTTGCAACCCTCAATGCAAACTTCATCTTCACTATAAATAGGGCTTGTAGCAGAATAATACAAGTTACAAGACTGATTATACGCTAAAAAATCATAAATTAACGAATATAATTCCCAATTTTATATGATCACCATATATAATAACGACGAAAAACACCAGACACAGCGTAATGTTCATTAAATACACTAAAAGGCCTAAAAACCCAAATTTAACATCACAGAATTCAAATTTTATTAACTTACATTTTGTTGGTCTATGCCTCGGACAATTTTCACGATTTTCTTGGTTATCTGGCGGCCCAGAATTGTTGTTATATTTGCACGAATACAAGGGCGGAATAAAATCCACCGGGTTTAAATTCGTACAATTATTCATAATAAAAATATCGCCAAACTGAAAATCAAATTTGACAGGTGAAAATTCAAATTTAAACATTATCGGCAATGCAGATTTCTGTAATGCAATTTTTTGAATTTTCGTGTTTTTTGAGAAAATAAAACAAATAAATGGTAAAAAATGGTTTATTTATGAGTCAAACGATCTTTCTTCAGCCTCATTTTGTTCTTTAAGTAGGTGCGGGAAATGCTGAGTGAGTAATTGCAGTATTTCTTCGACTTGTTCTTCCGAGAGACGTTCTTCACTTTCTTCTATCATCTAGGCAGTTATTGATGAATAAAATATGTTAAATAATGTAAAAATATAACTCACAAGTTGTATTTCAAGCGCGGTTGTCGGTGGTGTATTAATCATCATCAATTTTTCAGTTTTACTCAAACCATATGCGTCCAAGGCTTTTAAACATTCCTCGATGTTTTCAGGCGTTTGAAAATTACACGGCGTATTTTCTAAATATTGTAAGGTTTCGTACGTAATTGTTGCCAATTGTCCTTTATTTTTCGTTTTCCCATCTTTGAGTTTTTGTAAATGAACCATAACTTCATAGTTGCTCAGAGCTGCACAATTACTATTTACACTGAAAAGTAGAGTTAATTAATGTGAAAAAGTGTGCGTTTTACATACATTTCCATTATTTTTCCACAATTTTATTGGTTATATTTTGACTGGTAATACAGGTTACTCTTCAAGATTGGTTGAATGAACGGTAGATGGCGGTAGTATTATGGTCACGTGATCGGTGAATTCAGGTCAGCAACTTGACGCGCCAAAAAATCTCTTTTTCATTGAAAGTCTGCCTGTGGCATCTTCTCACGTAAGTTTGCTATTTTAATCTTTAATTATTTTGGTCATCGTTTAACGTAATTGGGGTTTTTATGCATCAAAATGAAGCTGGATTATTGTAGATTTAATTTGTGTTATTTGTTTTTTTGGGGGTTTCGTAGTTTTTGTGATAATTTTGTTGCAAGCCGACATGACTTAAAACGGCATGTTTTGGTTGTAATGCGAAGTAAACATTGTTTTTTTGTGACTTAAAATGCCTATTGTTTGGAGTGCAGTGAAATGAGGTGTTTTATTTTATTATTAATGTTTTTTTTGGCTTAAATACTTAAAATGTTGTTCTTTTTAGGTTACTCGTAACTCACTCAAAAACGTAAAGATGTCGGGAGGATTAGAGGTGTTGTCCCTCAAAGAGGACGATGTCACCAAGATGCTGGCCGCCGGTACCCACCTAGGTACCGCCAACGTAAACTTCCAAATGGAGCAGTACGTTTACAAGCGCCGTAGTGACGGGGTTCACATTATTAACCTACGTAGGACTTGGGAGAAGCTTCTCCTAGCTGCTAGGGCTATCGCGGCCATCGAGCACCCCGCCGAAGTTTTCGTCATCAGCTCCAGGCCTTACGGGCAAAGGGCTGTGCTGAAATTTGCTGCCTACACCGGAGCCACTCCCATTGCTGGAAGATTCACCCCTGGTGAGTCTATATAACAGTTTACGCATGCCGGGGCTTCACGTTTGCTTGATTTGCGGTTTAAAGTCGTCAAAAATGTTATTTGTGGTTATTTTTAGCATATTCAACAGTTAATTCTGATCACAATTCTGTGTTCAGATAAATGACCTTTAGTTTAATTTAAAAGCTATTTATTGAACAGTTTAAGATGAAATTAGAGTTAATTGACAAATACATAACCTCAATTTTTCTAGTGCAATGCTTATTCAAATGTCAAAGAGGGACTTTTTAATGTGGAGCATATAAACAATACTATATATTATTTCTATGATGTGGATGATAGTACATACCAAATGCAAAATATGTAAATGTCATGGTTTTGCCCTATTTTGATGTTAAAAAATATCAATTTTTGGATATTTTAAGCCATTTGTTTTGGGTAACAAAAATTTAAAATAAAACCTGACATTAGTTTTTGAGGTTTTTATAGAAGTAACAAAGTACAAAAAATGCGGGAGTAGTTCATTTCACTGGTTTCTTGTCTTGCAGCGCCTCTAGCGCGTTGAAAATGGCTGCTTTATATTAATTTTTTTTAAAGTTAATTTTTATTTAGTTTAATATCTATTAAATAATTTTTTAATTTAAAATTTTATTGGTGTAAAAATTTTGGGTTTACATTTATAAATTTATAATATTTTTCAACTTTCATGTATTGAAAGACAAAATTTACTAACAGTTCACTTCTGTATTAAACAATATTATTTTCTATCAATTTTTCCAAAAACTTAATTTCCCAAGTATAATTTATTTGGGTGGCATTTTGTTAACTTACTTAAATAATTATTTTATAAAATTATTGAGATTAATTTGGTAAAACCAAATCTAAGCACGGCACTGGATTCACCACCTCTCAAAATGACCCTTTACTAAATTTTATTGAAAAATTTTAAGTAGACAAATGCACATAACTACAAAAATTTATTCTGTCAAGTTATCCATGCAAAAAAACATTGAAATAAAATGTTACTATTAAACTCTTAAACGCTGACATAGTAGGCCTTGTATTTTGTACAAATATGCCGTTTTATGCTCCAAAAATACAGTTTATCAAGATCTACACTTTAAAACAAATCCGGTTAAAATCGCACAATAAATAAAGATTTTGTGATGCATCAGACGTTAAATAATTTTAATAAATTACATTTGTTTTCGTACGCCATTTTTTTATTTTGTATCTCACACTAATTCCTAAAATTACATTCTATCCATTCCCTATAGGCAAAATATTATATTTTTACATTTTATTTAACCAACATTAATTACATTTGAAGTTATAACATTTGCTTTTTAGAAATTACAAAAAAAACCTTTTGACAATGAAAAGCATATTTATTTTGTTTAAAACATTTCCCCCCTTATTGTACAATTTTTTTTTCATGATGATATTACTAAGGAACCTATGATCCAGTTGATTATAATCTTACGACTGATTAAAAAACGCCAGCACCGCTTTCGCTTGCCGTCGCCCGTCGGCATTCTTACGTAACCGATTTAAAATTTTAGGTGCGTTTACCAATCAAATTCAGCCGGCTTTCCGCGAGCCCAGGCTTTTGATCGTTACCGACCCGGCCTTCGATCACCAGCCCATCACCGAAGCTTCGTACGTAAACATTCCCGTCATCGCTCTGACCAATACCGACTCGCCTTTGAGATTCGTTGACATTTCCATTCCCGGAAACAACAAATCTCCGCACAGCATCGGTCTTTTGTGGTGGCTCTTGGCCAGAGAAGTAAGTAGAATAATTAATGTACTTGGTGTTTTTCATGGTACAAGAAAACAAGGTATATTTTGTCTCACTTTGCCACCATAAGGACTGTGTTGCATTGCAATAAAAACATTTTTTTTTTAATTTATTTATTACAAAATTGTATTCCCAAATAATTTAGGTTTAGTTGCCAAATAAAAAACCTAAATTGGCCACCATGGAGCCAAAAACCAAACTCGTGAAAAATAGTATATTATTGTATGGTATAAGCTGGTTTTCTAATGCTTTTGGGATGTTTCAATCCCGGGCCATTTCATTATCAGCAGCATGCTGCAGTTTAAGTTTCTGTTATGGACTGTCCTTAAAATTTTATTGGTTTAATCATGTGTTAAAAGACAAACCAACAGTTCACTTCTGTATTAAACAATATTATTTTCTATCAATTTTTGCAAAAATTTCTAACTATCATTTTTTAATAAAAATAATTTCCCAAGTATAATTTATTTGGGTGGCATTTTGTTAACTTAAATAAATATTTTATAAAATTATTGAGATTAATTTGGTAAAGTTTTTTAGTATTTAAATGGTAAAATTTTTTAGTATTTAAAAATAGTATCAAGCCATTTGAAATAAAAACACATATAAAACATTTTCTACCAAAACAGTTTAAAAAGTTAAATTTTTGTAAACTCAAAACTATTGATAATCAAAAAATATTTTAAATATAAAATGCAACTGTAAAAGTTTAAGTTTAAAAATATTGATTTTTAAAAAATGTAATTTTAATATTTTATTCTTCAAAATTATTGGTTTGAATTTGTAAAGAGTCATTTAAATGATAGTCGATAAATTTTCAATACAAAAATTTGAACATTACATTTAAATGTTAGTTTTAAATTTTAAAGTGCTAATTTTCGCATTAAAAATCATTTAAATTTAAACCAATAACTTTTATTTTTAACAATTTTAAATTGATACATTTTTAAGACAAAATTTATAACTTCAAATTTAAATGTAAGTCGATAATTTTTAAATTACAAAGTGTAAACGTAGCTTTAGTAGAAGGCACAAGAGTCTGGGATCGGAGCCACGATGCAGCCAGTTTGATCCGCAGTGTTGCCAAATCGTGCTTGCTCCATAAATATTTGACGCGTTTTACAAATTATCGTAATGAAATGTTTCTTTATTACATAAATTTAATAATAGAACAACAACATATTTAGTGCCTATTGTACTAAGTTAATTCGACAATTAAAAAACATCAACGGATCAAACTGGCTGCATCGCGGCTCCGATCCCAGACTCTTGTGCCTTCTACTAAAGCTACGTTTACACTTTGCAATTTAAAAATTATCGACTTACATTTACAGTGGTGGAAAAAAGTATGGAATATTTTTAATATTTGGATTTTAGGCCCCTAACAATTTTTAAAACTTTTGTTATTTGGTTACAAGAAATCTTGTTTAATTATAATGTGTAGCGTACTATTTAATTGCTGCATATCATTGTTTTGTTTGTTTTTTTTATCTTCTGAGTTTTTGCTTGGAAAAAAGTATGGAATAATCTTTCAATTGCGACCAGTTTTGCATTAGTTCTTAATATTTTCGCACAATTCTAGTACGTTTCAACGTAATCATGCCTAAACACGTTTACTTTTCAGTTCAATTTAGGCAAAAAATAGTTGAACTTTATCAAAGTGGCCGAACGCAATCTGATGTGGCAAAAACATTAAATATTAGTCAGAGTGCTGTTTGTAAAATTTTGAGTAAATTTCATACTCAAGGTGGTGTTGAGACTCGACGCAAGTCAGGATGTCCCAGAAAAACTACTGTCATGATAGACCAAACAATAAAAAGACTCTCTCTTAAAGATCCTCGGAAGACATCAAGACAAATTACTGAAGAAATATCCACACAATTTAATCTTGATGTGACGAGCAGAACTGTGAGAAATCGCCTAATTGATGCGGGACTACATGGTCGAGTTGCCGTTAAAAAACCACTGCTTTCGAAGAAACACAGAGCTGCCCGTCTGGCATTTGCCAAATCCCACTTGAACTGGACTCAGGCAAAATGGAACTCCGTACTTTGGAGCGATGAGAGTAAATTTAATTTATTCGGTTCTGATGGTAGAACGTTTGTGAGACGGCCAGTAGGACAGAGATACAATTTTAAATACCAAATTCCCACTATTAAACATGGTGGAGGAAGCATTATGGTTTGGGGATGCTTTTCTGGAACCATGGCTGGACCATTGATTCAAGTAGAGGGTATAATGGATCGTTTCCAATACAGGGACATCTTAGAGAATACCATGTTACCATTTGCCGAGGAAGAGATGCCACTTTCTTGGATATTTCAACAAGACAACGATCCCAAGCACACCTCGAAAATTGTTAAAGAGTGGTTTTTGGTAAAAGACGTAACTGTGCTTGAATGGCCCTCTCAGTCCCCCGATCTCAA